ATGATGTATATCTATCCAGTCTATCATTGATCGGGATTTAGGTTGATTCCATGTCTTTGCTATGGTGACTTAGTGCTGCAGTGAACATATGTGCGCAAATGTCTTCATAGCAGAATGATTTATATTCCTTTAGGTATATACCCAGTAATGGGATTGCTGGGTCAAATGTCATTTCTATGTTTAGGTCTTTGAGGAATGACCACACTGTCTTCCACAATGCTTGGACTCCCACCAACAGCATATAAATGTTCCTTTTTTCTCCACAATCTCGCCAGTATCTGTTATTTTTTGACTTTTTAAAACTAGTCATTCTGACTGGTGTGTGATGGTATCTTGTGTTTTGATCATTTCTCTAATGATTAATGATGAGTTTTTTTTTATATGCTCATTGACCACACGTATATCTTCTTTTGAGATGTATCTGTTCATGTCCTTTGCCCAATTTTTTATGGGGTTGTTGTTTTTTTCTTGTAAATTTGTTTAAGTTCCTTGTAGATGCTAGATATTAGACCTTTGTAAAACGCATAGTTTGCAAAATTGTTCTCCCATTCTGTAGGTTGTTTATTTACTCTGTTGATAGTTTCTTTTCCTAACAAATTTTTATCTTTTAACTTTTATATTACATGTAAAGTAATTTGTGCATCCCCATTACAATGTTACGTCAATATGTATTTGTCTATATATTTACCTTTTCCAGTGAGATTTATTATTATACATGTTTTTGCATTGCTGTTTAGCATATTTTCTCTTCAATTTGGAGAATTCCCTTAAGCATTTCTTGTACAACAGATATACTGTTGGCAAATTCCCTCAGTTTTTGTTTGCTTGGGAAATATTTTATCTCCCATTTTAAAGTATAATTTTTCCAGGTATAGTATTATTGGTTGAAAAAGTTTTGCTTCTTTAGTACTTTGACTATGTCATTTCACACTCTGCTGTTACATACATCTTTCAGCTGAGAAATTCACTAATAGTTTTATGGGGTCACTTTATATATGATGGGTCACTTTTCTTTTGCTGCTTTCAGAATTCTCTTTGTTTTTCACCTTGGCAATTTAATTTGATCTTAAAGTGTCTTACTGTAGTCCTCTCTGGGTTGACCCTGTTTGGGAAATCTTAGAGTTTCATGAACCTGGATGTCTATTTCCCTTTCCAGATTTGGTAAGTTTTCAGCTGTTATTTTTTTTAAAATAAGCTCTCTACTTCTATTTTATTTTTCTTCTCTTTCTGGAACTTCTATAATGCGTATATTGATTTGCTTGATAGTGTCCCATAAATTCTATAGACTTTCTTTTTTTCATTCTTTTTTCTTTTTTCTCTTCTAGATAATTTCAAATGACCTGTCTTCAAGATGACAGATGTTTCTCTAGCTTGTTTAACTTCTTTAAAACAATTACTTTGGGTTATTTGACAGGCAATTTGTAGATCTCCATTTCTTTGGGTCCAGTTACTAGAAAATTTTTGTATTCTTTTGGTGATAAAAAGTTTTCATGATTTTTTTCTATGTTCTTTGTGCCTTTTTGTTTGCATTTGCACATTTGAAGAGTCACCTCTTCTAGGATTTACAGACTGGCTTTGGTGGGGGGGAAACTATTACTGGCAGGTAGGTGTGAGGGTGTGGATGGCTGGAGTGTGGCTGCTCTGTTTAAAGGGGAAGTATAGTAGCATAGACTGAAGGCATCTTATCAGCAAAGACTGCAGTGATCCCTGGCAACCAAGGTTACAGGTGCCTTCAGTGACAGTGAAAGCTAATTAGGTCCTCTGTGGTGAAGGCTGCTAGCATTCTCTTCTCTCCTTTTTCCTCATGGGGAGACTTTGTGGTTAAGAAGATCCCTCTTTGTACTAGGGTACTATCTAGTTTTCACATTGCTACCAGAGTAGTCTCTTAAAAAACTAAATCTGGTATGTCATCTCTCTACCTTAAAACCCTCCAGTGGTCACTCACTTCTCTTAATTGCAACATCCAAAATCCTTAAATTGACTAGCAAGGTGCAAAATGACTTGGCCTCTGCCCTCTTCTTTATTTTCATTCTTCTTTGCAGCCAAACTGGCTTTTTTTTTCACTTATGCTAGTTCATACACCAGGCGCCTTTTTATTTCAAGTCCTTCTCATATGCTGTTTCCTCTACCTTACAACCAATACTGTTGTAACTCTTCTCAAAGCTATACTTGAAATTTGCTGTCACCTTTGGGTACTTTGGCTACTTTTTTGTTTGATGGGTAACACAAGCTTTTATCCCAGAGGAATCTGAACTTCTGCTTTGTTCTTCTCTGTCCTTGTTTGCTATCATTACCCCATTCACTATTACTACCATGCAGTAAAACACCATATATCTAAGTACTCACCTGTGTATCCTTGGGGTTTACCATATCAGTGAAAGATGACCTGACTTTTGCGTGCCAGTATCTAAAATTTATTTGCCTATGGTCTTTCTTTGGCCTCTGAAGCCTGTTCTGTTTCTGGAAATGGCATGCTGGAAATGATAGAGAATTAAGGCCCCTGGAATCAGCCTTCACTAATACCCATCACTTGTTCAGTTGGGTAGGATAATTCTGAAGTCTATGTTCTACATTATTTCCCAGAAGTTCTTAACAAGATTAAGCCCTAGTTGCATACTATGGCAACATGCTTAGCAACACATATTTTATCAGCTTTCACTATTCCCTTTTGCACATCCTCAGTCCCCTGCTAGTGTTTTCTGGCATCACCTCCAATGCCTTGTCTCAGGGTTGTGAAGCAGGTTCACTATGCATTGGTCACTCTACCACTTGCATGGTTCTGATGAGACAGAACACTCACACAATAAGTTAAGTGAAGGAATTTTATTACTCACAGATAGACAGCAAGGGCCAACAGTAGCCTAGAATTCATGGTAAGCCAGTCCCCCAAAGCTGAGGAAGGCCATCCAGGGTGCATGGAGTCTTACCTACATGTCTCCCATGTCACACTGCAGCTGAGGGACTCCAAAAGGCACTCAGCTCTAGGTTTTATACTCGGACAACTTGGCATGCTGGGCTAGTGCTGTAGTACATCCTGTTTTAGGAGGCTGGGTGACTGAGCCCAGGCTAGTCTGACCAGTTTCCCCTATCTCAGGGTGTTGCATTTCCAGCACATTCTACAGTTATTCTTGAGAATTACAAGCAAGAAAGGGAAGAGCTTTGTTGTCAAGGTCATCCAAGGACTTGTCCTGCAAGAATTTGTTTCTAGGGGAACCCGTATCAGACACAGGTAATGGCTCAGTTGCAGGTACGGGATACAGTGCTGTGCTTTATTTTGCTTTGCAGATATTGCATTTTCTTTCTGTTTTTTCTTTTTGATTTCTGTTCTGTTTTTTCATACTGAAGGTTTGTGGCAACCCTGCATTAAGCAAATCTATCAGCACCATTTTCCAACAATATGTGCTCACTTTGTGTCTGTGTCACATTTTGACAATTTTTGCAACATTCCAAACATTTTCATTAGTATTGTATCTATTATAGTGATCTGTGATCAGTGAGCTTTGAGATTATTACAGCAACATCTGATTTTTCCAGATAGCCAAGCTTTTTAGTATAATCTTATTTCCTTCTGTTGGGATACAGAAGCAGGTGACTTTCACATCTGAAATACCATGTTTCTTGACTCTTAATCCAGGCAAAGAAAGCTCCCTTAGCAGAGCTCCATTCCTACCACTTCTGCTTGTAAATTGGCTTGGAGAAGCCCTTGAGGCATTAATTAGAGCAATGCTTTAGCACTGTTTCACAGATCTTCCTAAAAGCAGCAAGAACAAACAACACTAATCAACATTCTGAGATTTTACAATGAGTTTTCCTACAACTTCAGGCTCAAAAAGCACACTGTCTACCTTCAAAGTTATCCCAGGAGGCAGTTCAGTCAAGCATTTCTGTAAAACATCAAAAAGATTATCGCCTTCTTAGCCTGTAATGTCTGTGTCCTCTCCTAACAATAAAACAAGTGCCACGTATTTTAGTTTTAGTTATAGTAGCACCCTACATCCAGGAACAAATTTCTATACTTGTTAGGGTTTATTCTAAGATATTGTAACAAAGACATTCCAAAATACAGTAACTTAAATAAGATAGAGGCAGGTGGTCCAGGGTTAACATTACAGCTCTTGCCATCTTCCATACATGGCTTCAAAGGTTGTACCTGCCTTTGCCATTTCTCAGGTAGAGGAAAGACAAACATCTTTAAGGTGATGTCTCAGAATTTGTATACGCAACTTCCCTTCACAGCACATTGGCCAAAATTAGTCACTTAGCCACACAACCTATCTAACAAGGAGAAAAAGAAAATGTTCTGTAACCGAGTCAGCTCTGTTACTAAGAGGAAGAATATAATGAAAACGAGATATAGTATTTATTATAAAGAATGTGCTTACTAGAGCTAGCTTAGATCTTAAATGATTTTCCAGTTTTAATCTCCATGAAACTTGACTTGACTTCCTGGGAAGCCTTACCTATAGGGTTAGAGTTACATTTTCCTTTTTTCCATGTGTTCTTGTGATATACTAGCTATTACTTAGGCTAAGAAGTAAAGTGTTTCTTCTAAAAATAAAAAGCCCCTCACGTTAAGTTACATTTCTGATTATCCAGTAACCAAACAATATTAAGTGCCTTCCATATGTAAAATGTAGTGCTGAAAAGATAGAAAAGATACAATCTTTCTCTCCTTTGTGTCATTTTCATAACTCTTATGAAATGGCATATTCATAAATATATTTAAAGTGATTTAATATTGTCAGCTTATTCTGCAAAAAAAGAAAAAAGGAAATGAGAGTCTAAATGAAAGGACTTTACTTATTATCAATTATCAATTATCAATTTACTTATTACAATTAATTGCATAAAAATTAAAGTCAGGAATTCTACTAGGTTGTGCTAATATTGGGTATCTAGTATACTTTTAAATAAAATTTTATACTCCTAATTAATGTTATGAATATAGAAACAGTATATAGCTTGTTTCATTAATATTATACATTTCAATTTTTATACAGTATAAGAAATTGCTTAGTTTTGATGGTGCTCATATAGGAATTTTTGAAAGATTTATATCTGGATCATTGGCTGGTGTAACTGCCCAGACCTGTATTTACCCCATGGAGGTATGTATTATAAAATTTTAACTAAAGTCATACTTTTAATGAAAATTATAACTTTTTATAAATGAATCTCAGTTAAGTACAATAAGCAGCTTTAGAGCTCTAGGATTAAAATCGTATCAAGAGTCAGTTGGTGGCTGGGCATGGTGGCTCATGCCATAACCCCAGCACTTTGGGAGGCCAAGGTGGGCGGATCACTTAAGGTCAGGAGTTCGAGACCAGGGCAATATGGTGAAACCCCATCTCTACTAAAAATACAAAAATTAGCTGGATATGGTGGTGCACACCTATAATCCTAGTACTTGGGAGGCTGAGGCAGCAGATTCAGTTGAACCCAGGAGGCAGAGATTGTTACAGTGAGCTGAGATCATACCACTGCACTCCAGCCTGGCTGACAGAGTGAGACTCCATCTCCAAAAAAAAAAAAAAAAAAAAAAGTCAGTTGTCATTGTTGCTTAAAACAAAGGTATTATTATATATGAACCAAGAAGATAAACAATTTTGTTGATTGATTGATTGATAGAATCACTTATTTATTCATTGGGCAAATTTGTATTGTATACCTACTAAGTTTAAGGTATTATTCTAGGTGCTATGCAGGAGCCAGAGAAGAGTCATACAGGGATTTTGGGCTATGTAGCTTGTAGTCTAGAAGGGGAAATTAAACATACACATCAATAATAATAATCTAAAATAAAAATTATAAATTATGAAAAGAGATCAATATAAAGTGCTACGGAAATTGAGAAGGGGAGAAATCATTTCAAGCTAGGGATTTCATGAAAGACATGAATAGAGGCTGGGTGCAGTGGCTTATGCCTGTAATCCTAGCACTTTGTGAGGCTGAGGCAGGTGGACTGTGTGAGCCCAGGAGTTTGAGACCAGCCTGGGGAACATGACGAAACCTCACCTCTACAAAAAATACAAACATTAGCCAGGTGTGATAGAGTGTGCCTGTAGCACCAGCTACTCAGGAGGCTGAGGTGAGAGGATCACTCCTCTGTCAATGGGTGAAGGTTTCAGTGAAACGTGATTGCACCATTGTACTCCAGCCTGTATAACACAGCAAAAAAGACAAGAAAGATGGGAAGACCAGATGCAAGACATTACCAGCATTCAGGGAACTGATAATAAGAGTTTGAAGTATGACAGTGACTGGGGGAAATTAACTCATGACAGAGCTGTCTTGAGAACTGTCAACCTGAAAAGTGGAAAGCAGGAGAAAGGAAGAAGGCAAAGTTCTATTTGGGTCCTGTGCCTGAGTGTTTAGGAAAGTTGCCTCTGAGTTACGTCTCTGAAACAGAGAATGGAGGAAGTGAGCCAGACTCAGAGAGGTGATGAGCTCAGATTTACGCATATTTAAATTGAGCTGTTGATGGGACAACCAAGTTATGATTTTCAGTAGGCCATTGCAAATGTGATGCTGAGACTTAAGATTTCAAGTGTTGGTGTGTCACCTGAGAGAGGTGTTATTTGAAGCCAAGGGATTGTCTATTAAAAAAGTAATGTTTAAAAAAATGTTAAGAGGACTTTGAGAAGACCTTAATGTAGGGAGTGAGAGGAGAAAAACATGCCAGTGAAGCAGACAGAAAAGATTTACTTGGGTAAGAGGAGAGTGCACTGCCTTGTAGAGGATAGAGTTTTAAAAATGAGACTATCTAAATTGTCTAGGTCTGCAGAGAAGTCCATAAAACAAAAAGCTTTCTACTGACCACTCAGAGGCAGCCCCATCAAGATACACAGTTTTCTCAATCAAGACAAAGTTTATACTTAAAAAAATTCAATTTTTATTTTAGATACAAGAGGTACATGTCTTGGCTGTTTTAGAGAGCCATTTCTCCAAACATGTATAAAGGACTTTTAAATGAGTGGAAATTAAGATGATAAGGAGTGAGACTCTATCAGGAGAATTAAATTGTGCAAAGGATATTAATCATATTCATCCTACTGGGGCCTACTATTGCCCTTATAGCTTCTGGGATATCAATACTTTATGAGCACAGAATGAGTCCAAGTCATGTAAAATGAAGTTTATGGGTCTCACTGTTAAAATAGTTACCAGAGTATGTACTTTAAGCATATATAGAATGTTTTATTCATACTGACTCTTTATTTTTAACGTAATCATATATGTTTTACCTTGAATTCTGGCTTCTTTATTCTGAAGCAATAATGAATTTCAGAACATGTTGCCTTTCAGCACATTAAAGGAATTTGCATGGATATATCACTCAAAGGCACCGGGATTGATTTTATTTTCCTGTTTGTATAATTTTAAAGCATCTCTGTACTGTATTAGTTGTTCATTAGTAAGAGGCAGTTAGGCAGTTATTGAGAAGTTATAATCGTGTTTATGATAGCTTTCTTTTATTATTTCTATGATTTATAAACATCATGAGATAATGCAACTCCATGGATTGCTAGATAAGATGGGTGAATCTGATCAATATATCCTTATTATATTCTTTCACATTTAGGTATTAAAGACCAGACTGGCTGTAGGTAAGACTGGAGAGTATTCAGGCATTATTGACTGTGGCAAGAAGCTTCTAAAACAAGAAGGTGTCAGATCCTTTTTCAAAGGTTTTGCTCCTAACTTGCTAGGCATTGTACCTTATGCAGGTATAGATTTTGCTGTTTATGAGGTGAGTTTATTCTCATAATATGACATTATATGTTAGAGTTGAAAATATGGCATAACAGTTTTTATTGTAGAAATATGGTTATAAATGACTTTTCATTAAAGTAACTCTGACCAAGAGTGAATTAAATGGTTTTATTTGACTTTTCAACTTATATGTTACATATCTGGTATTGTGGTAATAAGTTTTTGTTTGTTTTTTTTTAATGAATCAATTTTTGTTAATAATAATTTTAAGTTCTGATAAAATTGTGGTTCTCAATCCTGGATGCATATCAGAATCACCTACATGTGGATCTTTAAAAAAATAGGATTATTGGGCCACATCCTGAGATATTCTCATCTAATTATCCCCAGGAGGCCAGGCGCAGTGGCTCACACCTATGATTCTAGCACTTTGGGATGCTGAGGGGGTTGGATTCCTTGAGCCCAGGAGTTTGAGACCAGCCTTGGCAGGATAGTGAAACTCCATCTTGACCAAAAATACAAAAATTGGCCAGTCTTATAGCTTGGTCTCAAAATAAGTAAATAAATAGATTTAAAAGGATATTAAAAATATCCTGAGGAGAGGCCTAGGATTCAGGTTTTTTAACTGCCCAGAAGAATCTGTTGTATAAGTAAGATTATGAAAGTTGAGATATTATCACACAGTTTTAAAAATGAGAATGGAGGACAGGAGTACTTGTGGCTTGAGGAAGAAAGGCAGGATGGAGGTAGGACAAAAAAGCTGGTAGTGTAATGCACAGGCAAGAGGCCAGCTTACTCCCCTTTCAGCTGATCATTTCATTTCCATGGTCATACATCTGTTTCAGGAAGAACATCTTAGCAATATATATACCATTTCGTCGTAAGAACCAGGTGAGAGTGTATGATTGAATAAATTCATTCTCAATGCAGGAAGAACAGTTCTCTAGATACAAGCCCAGTGGTATTTTTGGCAAGTAGTGTCACCATCATGTGAAAGACAGATAACTTACTTTGGCACTTTTAAAAGTACACTTATATTTTTGTAGATGTTTAGAGTATTGAATATTATAGCATGTGTTTATTTTCCTTTTTCTTTTCTTGCATCTATGATCTTATTACTATAAAATTTGTTGCTGGTGTTTATGTTGGACTGTCTTCATTCTTTGATTTCTACAGGTCAGTATCTTCTTTATACATTTGCCAGATGCCATTACATATTTCTCTTTGTATTGTTACATGACTGTAATAAGTGCATTCTGAGTAAAGACATTTCAAAATTTATTTTTTCAAAAACGTCAAAGTATACATTTTGTAATAATCATTGCAGTGAATAATGGTAAAGTTATAGTCCTTTAATAAATGAACAGTTCTGAAAGCACTTAGTGATATTTTAAACTCACTATTTCTTAATTTCTTCCAGTCACTTTTATTCAAGGAAGAGAAAGTAGGGAAAGAGGACGCTTAAAAAAGTTGAGAAAATGTGATTTTGTTAACCTAGAGTAGATTGTGCAGTCTTCCTCTCTACAATATTCTGGTAATCCCTGTGAGAATCTCCAGATTTTTATTTGAGTATAATTACAAACCAAAGAACAAGCAAAGGAAAACAAACAAACAAACAAAAAAACACTCCCCTCCCCCCAAAAAAAACATAGGGGAACTCAAAAACTGAGGTTGTATGTTGGTTTGAAAACATCAGTGCACCCTGTTCCTGATATGACTACAGGGATAACCCCCTCCTTACTAAAACTTTATTCCATTTAGAGTTGTATAGTAGTTGCACAGTAATATATTTACTACTGTCTTCTCTACCAGGTTTTGAAGAATTATTGGTTAGAAAATTATGCAGGAAACTCTGTGAATCCTGGGATAATGATTTTGCTGGGATGTAGTACGTTGTCTAATACTTGTGGTCAGTTAGCCAGTTTCCCTCTGAACCTTATTAGAACTCGCATGCAGGCTTCAGGTGAGTTGTTTTTTTTTTAAAAATAAATGAATAATATCTAAGTTTAAAATTATGTTTTAAATGAGTATAAATTAATGATTTCAAAAACAGAAAAACTCTAGAGTTGATAAGCAAGAATCTTGAATTTATTACTTTACTGACTACAGCTTTTTGTGAAGTTTAGATTTTATTTCATCTCAAAATCTTGTTTGGAACTCTCCACATTTTCTTCAGTTATTGATGATCCCTTTAAGGAGTTCACAATTAGAAAGTACCATGCAGAATAATGGAAAAGATTACACTTTTTCAAATTAACGGTTATTCCATATGAATGTATAATTTTCCCGTAGTTCTGTTATTATGGTCATATTCTGCAACTGGAACTTAATACATTTGTGGAATGGAACTCAATTTTTTTTTCCAGTTGACTTAAGGAAGAGATGCTAAGAAAAGGGAGGATATCTGTTTTGTTTGTCAGTGAAATGTTAGGAATTTAGTTTTTTTATTTTGTTTTGTTTTTGTTGTTGTTGTTTTATTTTTTATTTATTTTTCTCTGGGAATTTAGTTTTTAAGAAAAATGTCTTTATCACTTTTCTAGAAGAAAAAAAAAAACCCATACAATCCTATTGTTACCTTCTTGACTAAGCTGTTTAAGAATCATGTGTTAACATTCTCTTTCTTGTCTTTTTAGTCAGATTTTTGGTTTAATTTATATTCTCCAGGTGGAGAATCCATCCCATCACCCAACCTTTCCTCTCTTTATTTGTGTCAAATCCAATTCCAAATACTCCTTTGAGGTCCCCCGTGAAAGACTTTCAAGTGTTGTTCAGTAGAAGTTTCTGTGATGATGGAAATATTTTGTATCTGTGCTATCCAGCATGATAGCCACTATTCCCAAGTGAATATTGGGCATTTGGGATTGTTGCCAGTGCAACTAAGGCAATGAATTCTTAGTTTTATTTAATTTTATTTAAGTTAAGTTAAAAAAAATAGCCACATGTGTCCAGTGGCAACCATATTGAACAGCACAAGACCTTTTGCAGGTAGGGAAAGAGGTATATTCTGAAGTAATTTCAGTCCCTGTAAATTCTCATTTTTCTTTGGACTATCTTAATTTATAAATATTAAATATTGAATTATACTTTTTTCCAATTTATAGCTCTAGTGGAAAAAGGAAAAATAACTTCTATGATTCAGCTCATTCAAGAAATATATACCAAGGAAGGAAAATTGGGATTTTACAGGGGTTTCACCCCAAATATCATAAAGGTGCTTCCTGCAGTAGGCATTGGCTGTGTGGCTTACGAAAACGTGAAACCACTTTTTGGATTAACCTAGAAGTGAAATATCAAATTGTTGTCATTGCCATAGTCAATTAATTGTAAGTAATACCTGGATTATAAAGAGATGTTATCTTTTCCTAAGAGGAAAGAAATATCAAATAATTGTTAAAATATTTTTTCTTTATCTATTACAAAATATATAAATTAAATAATTTTTATAAAGTTCTTTAATAATTTAAAATCTTTAATATTCAGAGAATACTATTTATATTTTCTACTACTGTTCCTTGAATCCTAACTGAAAATTTGTTCTTGATTTGATTTGAATACCCCATAGAGTAATATACAACATTTGGTCAGTTATAGGAGTCTATCTTTGAAAACGTTTTTATATTTGAAAACTGTTTTTTAAAAGGCGAGCTTGAAAATATTTTATACACTAAAAGAAAAATCAGTGCATTTAAGATTGATGTTATAGTAAATAATTTGGAGTCTGTTTATTTTATTTAAGCAAAATGGAAAATTGGTTTCTAATTCCTTCTATCACATTTTAGATGGAATAATGATAACAACTTTCTTACGTCTCTGGGCCTTCTTATTTGTAAATGTAAATACTGTTGGTTCATTTTGATTCTTGATATTTCAACTTATATAAGGAACTTGGCATTGATAACAAATCCCAACACTGGACAAATTTTTATGTATCTTCTGGTTGAAAACATTTGAGAGGAAGAATTTTAAATATTAAATCCATTATCTCATAGTTGTTGAAGCAATTCTTATTCCAACTTAAGAGTTGATTTAGTCAACTCTTTGATACCCTAAATATCTTCTCTTCACTTTTATATAAAACATTATATTCCTTCCTGGGATTAAATAAACATGTGGAGAGACAGTGGTAATGGGCTGATGGGACACTAACCGGCCGCAAATGAAGGACACCTAGCTCAACTGACTAAAGTCCAGCCTTTGACTTTTAGCGTTGATGGTCCAAAACTTTTAGCTTATGAATGTCCTTAAAATGATTGGCTTCTTGGTGCTAGATTAACAAAAATTGCTTACAGGATTGAGATATAGATCTCAAAGCAAAGCCATTAATTTATAGTGGTGCTTAATACTTTCCATTAACCAGAATACTTTCATCCCTTCTCCAAGGCACATTGCTTCCTAGTGTCAAGCCACCTTGGACACCTAATTTGTAATAAGAAGACTAATGTGGAATTAGAACAAAGAGAAGAAGATACTATTGAGGAATATTTTACTCAGGCCCATCCCAATTAAGGTGGGAAGAGTTGAGAACCTTGCATACAAGGGGAGAGGAGCTGAGACCTAAAGTAGGAGAGTGAAAAGAATTTTGAAACTTGAGCTAAATTAAGCCAGATACCAACAGAAGAGAGAAAGGCAAATCTCATGTTAACCCTGGGAATGAGTGTGTAAGAAATTTGAGTAATGGTGGTAGTTGTAACAGATAAACCTTTTTTTTTTTTGAGACAGAGTCTTGCTCTGTTGCCCAGGCTGGCATGATCTCAGTTCACTGCAACCTCTGCCTCCTGTGATCAAGCAATTCTCCTGCCTCAGCCTTCTGAGTAGCTGGGACTACAGGCATGTGCCACCAAGCCCAGCTAATTTTTGTGTTTTTAGAAGAGATAGGGTTTCACCATGTTGCCAAGATGGTCTAGATTTCTTGACCTCGTGATCCGCCCATGTTGGCCTTCCAAAGTGCTGGGGTTACAGGTGTGAGCCACCGCGCCCAGCCAGATAGACTTTTTAAAAGCATTCCAAGTTGATGAAACAACTTGAACAGTAACATGAAAATAGAGTTCATGGAGCATTGGGAAGATTGCAACTAACCTGTTCATTTGAAAATATATAGTATATAGGAAGATATAGTGAGATATGAGGCTACTGCTGTAGGTTGGCAACAGGGGCCTTGGATTATATGTGCTGATAACATTCTCTAGTGTAAGAAGATAACTTTGAAAATAGAATGAAACCATTGAAAGAAGAGATAGAGCTAGGTGTGGTGACTCAAATCCTGTAGACCAAATCCTTTGAGAGGTCTAGGTGGGAGGATCACATGAGGCTAGGAGTTCATGACCAGCCTGGTCAACAAAGTGAGACCCTGCCTCTACAAAAAAAAAATATTAAAAATTAGCATCGTGGAACGTGTGTGGAGTCCCAGCTACCCAGGAGGCTGAGGAAGGAGAATCACTTGAGCTCAATAGTTGGAGGCTGCAGTGAGCTATGATTGTGTCACTGCATTCCAACCTGGGCAGTGGAGCAAGAATCTGTCTACTAAAAAAAAAAAAAAATAGGAGACAGTAGAGCCAAAGATCAATTCAGACATTATTACCAGAGATATAGTTAGAAAATGCTGGCTTCTAAGTAAAGACCTCTCTTTAGAGTAGGTAGAACTCTAGGCTTTTTGATTATTGCATCCAAGGTCAAAGTCTGTCTTTTATAGAACCAGAAAATTAAAATTTTATTAAGTGCCTGATATGTGTCTGTTACCCTTTTAAAGCACTTATAAAGGTTCTCTTGCTTAATTCTATCAACCCTACTACAAGCTTGAGATTATTATCCTGATTTTCAAATGAAGAAACTAAGTTTAGAGAGGTAAGTGCCCTGAGCAAATCTCCTAATACTTCCCCTTTTATGAAGGATGGTGCTCATTTCTCACCATCAGGGTCTTCATTTTGCATGAGAGCCTGCTGTCAGCCATAATCTTGACTGCGACTTGGATATTCTGTATGTTAAAAAAAAAAAAAAAAAACTTTTAAAATGATGATTTCGCCCATGTCCTTAGTCTGTAGCCTCTCATTTCTTTCAGTCCAAGCCTGACTGATACTCTTCTTCCTCTTAAATACTGAGAACACTTGAGAGACCTTTATGTAAAAGTGGTTATGACAATATAATGTGAACACTGAGACTTTGAATTTAGAATGAATCATGAAGAAATGCAGCAATTCCTTATAAGCATCAGAGAAGAAAATAACTGGACAATATTATAAGGTCTGTGGGAAGTTGAATTTAACACAGAGGCACATTTCCGCATGGTTTTTCAGATAGCAAAGCTTAAAGATTAGTCTCCCCATGAGTCACCTTGCAGGTCTGTGTTACAAATCAGTAAAATTCTGTCTCATGGCCCCTGGGTTACTCGGTTTCACTCAGGCCCATCCCAATTAAGGTGGGAAGAGTTGGGAACCTTGTATACAGGGGAAGAGGACCTGAGACCTAAAGTAGGAGAATGGAAAGAATTATAGAACTTGAGCCAAATTAACCCAGAGACCACCAGAAGAGTGTAGTAGAATGTTATAGGATATGATTAGGATTACTGGCTAGGAATTAAATATAAGGAAGACCATAGCAGATGTGATGTGGGAGATGGTTGGGATTGAGTGCCTATTGAAATTTTTGACTCCAAGAAATGTCTGGATCTCATCCAGAGAGATAAAGAACTCTCTGGACAAGTACAGAAGCCTTTCAGTAATTTATTTGCAGTCCACAGAAGCAAAACGGTAAGCTCTCAGATCTCTAGAGTACTGTAGTAGTGTCTACTTCTCTAGTTTCATGCAAAAGCTGTGTTTCTGAAGGCACTGCTGAATGTTTTGATACTCTCATTCTGCTCAGACTGCATATTTTAAAAATTAGTTTATTAACCCATTTACTTTAGAGAAAGTAGCTGAGAAAGTCATAGCATATTGATCATATTATGCTAATGGAGAGTTATAAACCTTTGCAAAACTCAAAAAACAACCATGAGTTCTTGTCCCAGTCTTTTTTATGCTGTTATAGCAGAATACCATAGACTATGTACTTTATAAGAACAGAAATTTACTTAACGATTCTGGAGGTTAGGAATCTGAGGCTGAGGGACTGTCTCTGGTGAGGGTTGTCTTGCTATGTTATAACATGACAAAGGTATCACACTGGTGAGAAAGAGAGGGACAGAAGCAAGCCAAACACTCACTTTTATAAGGACCCCTCTCCTATGATAATGGCATTAATCCATTTATGAGGTCAGACCGCTGATGACGTGATCACCTCTTAAATGTCCCACCTCTCTCAACACTGTTTGTAATGTGCATTAAGTTTCCAACACATGAAGTTTGGGGAAGACATTGAAACCATAGCAGTTTTCATTTCAGAAAAGATTATTCCTTCCTTCCTTCCTTTTCTTTTCTTTTCTTTTATTTATTTATTTATTTATTATTTATTTATTTATTTATTTATTGAGATGGAGTTTTGCTCTTGTTGCCCAGGCTAGAGTGCAATGGCATAATCTTGGCTCACTGCAAACTCCACCTCCCTGGGTTCAAGTGATTCTCCCACCTCAACCTCCCGAATAGCTGGGATTACAGGCATGTGTCACCATGCCCAGCTAATTTTGTATTTTAAGTAGAGATGGATTTCTCCATGTTGGTCAGGCTTGTCTCGAACTCCTGACCTCAAGTGATCTGCTTGCCTTGGCCTCCCAAAGTGCTGAGATTACAGGCATGAGCCACCGTGCCCAGCTTCTCTTCCCCTTATTTCTAAGCCAGGGTCTAATTTTCCCAATGATACAGTTTCAAAAATGAGTAAGTCTGTTGTAGGTATGTGGAAAAATTCTTTAATAAATTCTATTCCCCTTTCTTCTCCATCCCTGGGACACATAGAACCTGTTATGGACTGAAAGCTTGTGTCTGCCTCTATTAGTTCATTTTCCTGCTGCTATAAAGAACTGCCCAAGACTAGGTAATTTATAACAGAAAGAGGTTTAATTGACTCAGAGTTAAGAATGGCCAAGGAGACCTCTGGAAATTTACCATCATGGCAGAATGTGAAGGGGAAGCAATGCACATTCTTCCCAAGGTGGCAGGAAGGAGAAGTGATAAGCTCCTTATAAACCATCAGCTCTCATGAGAACTCACTATCACAAGAACAGCATAAGGGAAACAGCCCCCATGATTCAATTACCTCCACTTGATCTCTCCCTTGACACCTCGGGATTATAGGGATTATGGGGATTACAATTCAAGATGAGATTTGGGTGGGGACACTAAAGCCTAACCATAT